TTACGTTAAGCGCGTACTTAGGATATATTACGTATATTATATAGTTAAAAAATATACTATATCGTATAATTTTCTTTAAAAGCGTAATTCCGTTAAGGTCGATCTTTTATACTTATAAAGCCGGAAAAAAAACTACTATATAGAAAAGAATTTATAAAATAGTTATTAAATAAAAGGGGGGAAGAAAAAGTAAATATATAACTAGTAACGGGAAAAAAATCTTTTATTATACTTAATAGCTTAGTAATAATAATAACCACGAGGCTAGGCGGGCTCTTATATATTATAATAATTAAAATACTTTATTATAAATATATATTACTAACTTAGTAACTAGTCGGCGCGCTATTATTAAATAATAATAATAAAGTATTCGTTAAATAAGGAAATAGGAATAATACTTTATTCTTAAGTAAAAAAGGATATTATTTATACCTTATAGAATTTATTATAAATAACGATGTTAATAGCTTTATTATTAGTATTAAAAAAAGATATTACGTAATAATTTTAGGGACTAAAGTTATATAAGGGGGGAGTAATTATAATAGATTTAGGATACGGCCGGTAATAAGACGCTAATAACTTAATAACTAGTATACGGTTCGTATTATAAAAGAACTTTTTAAAAAATAGAGCTCTTATAAAGGACTTTATAAGCTTTAGTCTTATAATATACTTATACTTATATTATAGCCTCGCTAGTTAAGTACTTATAGCCTAATCTCTTATAATAATATTTCTAAATAGTTTTTATAATTATAATAAGAGATATTTAATATTATTAAACTTCTTTAATAAGCTTTAGAAATTAATTTTAATAAGTTATAATTTCTAAACTTTTTTAAAGCGCTCTAAATAAGTCCTATAAACTACTTTTTTTATTATTTAATAAAGTATTATATATCCTATATTACCTTTTTTATAGCTTTTTATTAATTAAGTATAAAAATAAAAAAAAAGTAGTCCTAGAAATAGTGATAATAATCGCCGTTTTTTATATTTAAATATAAGAGCGTTATAAAAATACTATTATTAAAATATTATAAAAGTTTATAGGCCCGGTTTAAATATTTAGAACCTAATAGAGCTTTATTTAATACTTAATAAGGCGGTTTTTATAAGCTCTATTCTTATATAATAATAGAGGTTTATTATAAGGGTTCTTTATTAACGTCGATTTTAATATTAAGAATTACTTTTTTACGATCGGTATTTTATTTATTACGTATTCTAATGTTTTATTAAGAGCTATTAAAAATTAAAAGTTTAAGAACTTTTATAATATATATAAGCGCTTATAAAGAGGATTATAAATTATATAAAGCTATTTATAACTTAGTTATTATATCCCCTTTTTTATTTTTATTTTTAAGTTTATATAAAGGGGTTATCTTAGGGATTAGTAATAATAATAAGATTATATTAGCCTTTTTAACCTTATTAACCGCACTTTAAAGTACGTTTATTAGTTACTTAGCGTCTTAAATAGTTAAAAATCTAATAATAATACTATTTTTAATTATAGAGTTATTTTAAATATTAATATTTCCGAAGTCTAGATTTACTTCTCCGAGTACTTAAATTAGCTTATTATTAATATTAAAGAGTTTTTATATTTTTTAAATTATTAAATTTACTTATTTACTTATAATAGCTTACTCCTCGTATACGGGATTATAAAAAACTTTTTTATTAAACTTAATATTTTTTATAATAAATACTTACTTAAATACGGGTATTTAGACTTTATATAAGTTATAAGTTTTTAATATATATTTAATTAAATATTTTATATACTTATAGAGAAGTATTTTAAACTCATTTTAATATATACCCCTTTTATAATTTTTATAAAAAAGGTATATTTAGTAACTATATACGTAAAGGTTATTAAAATACGGAGTAACTAGTTTAAAATCCCGTACTTAGTAACCTGTTTATTATTAATATTAATACTATTTTTATTAGTTAATTTTTATTATAATAAGTAAATTTCTTTTATTAACCTCTTATAAAATAATATTATAAATAAAGATTATTATTAGTACTATTTCGTTTTATAAATTCGTAAAGAAGTTCGTAAAAAAGCGTATTTTATAAGCTTTAATAATTACGAATTAACTTATTTTTTTAGCGTTATTTACGGTTTTTTTTATATATAAAAATAGAAGTTTTATTTTGATTCTTAGCTTATTATATTACGTTTTATATACGTATTTAACGTTTGTAATTAAGAGGGTAGTTTTATTATTATTTTTAAAGAAGTAAATTAGAGTCCCTTTTTAATAATAAATTACTACCTCGAGGCTTTATAATATAAAAAGTATTTTTTTTTATTTTAGTTTTTAAAAAGAACCCCCTAAGCTACTTATTATATTTATTAAAAACTATAAATATATATTATCGTTTATTAAAAAATAGTTTAAAATAAAAGAGATCTTAGTATATACGGTACTATAGTCGTAAGGTTCTTTTTAAAAGTAGTCTTTTTAAAATTACTATCTTAGTTTTAAATAATATATATATTTTATATTTAACTTATAATAGAAGTTTAATACGCATACCTCGAGTTTTATATAATAATTAATAAAGAGTATTAGGTCCGAAATAACCTATTTTAAAGTATTAAAAGAGTATATTATTAAACCTCTTATAAGTACGTTAATATAAATAATAGAATTTTTTATAGCTAATTAGTAATATAATACTAACTAAGCTTTATAAAATACGCTTAAGGTTTATAAAAAAAGGATAGAATTAGAGGAGCTTATATTTAAAAAAAACTAGATTATTTTTTTAAATAAGCTACTTTTTAATAATATTTTTATAAAGCGTTCTTTATTATAAAATATAATCTAGACCGTAGTACTAGAGTATGCTTCTATTTAATAAAGTTTTTAAAACTATATTAATATAAAATCCCTTAATATAAGTAACGTTTTAAAGCTTTAAATCGTAAGTTCCCTTTTTTTTAAGTCCGTTTAAAACGCTCTTTATAATATAAGTACTATATATAATAATAAGTAGTATAATAATTCTTAATTTAATATAGTTTTTATTACTTAATAATATATAACTCTTAGGTTTAAGTAGGCTCTTATCGTTAACTAAATATATTACTTTATAACTATTTATTATTATATTTTAAAAAAAGGAATAAGTATTATTTATAAAAGTACTAAAAATTACGTTTATTTTTAAATCCTAACTTTTTATAAATATAATAACTACGTAGTTTTTATTTTAGTTTATTAATAAGCCCGCTATAAATTAGTTAAAGGATTTTTTTAAAAATCTAGGTTTTTTAAGGGTTTTATCGTTCCTTAGCTAACTAGCTTTTTTAAGCTTATTATAAAATAATTTCTATTTATTTAATTTAATAGTAATAAGGAATTTTTTAATATAGCTCCTTAGTATTTATATTAATAACTTATTAGTATTTTGGTTTATAAATACTTATTTTAATTTTTAATATATTATAGAGTATTATAAGTATACGTAATTATAAAAATACATAACTTTACTTTTATTATTTACGTCGTTAATTAAGTTAGAGCGTTTAGTAAAAATAAAATAAGCCCCTTTTTAATTTAAAAATCGTTTAGTATATACGTCCTGAGTTACTAAGCTAAATATGTATATAATTTCCTCGAGGGTCTTTATATACGTTTTAAAAGCTATTAATTTACTAAAAGTCTTATATATATATTAACCCTATATAAAGTTAAGTCTAAATTTAATTATAATTAAGAAGTTAAGTATAGCGATTTTTTTATTAATTTTTAAAATATTATACGTTTTAGCTTAGAAATAAATAAATTACTACTCTTTATATTAGTATTAAAGATTAATTCTAATCCTTACTTTATTAAAAACTTATTAATATTCCTCTCGAACTATATTCCTTATTACTAATTCGGGAAGTATAAATTCTTATTTTAAATATTTAATAATTCGCTATATACTAAACTTAGCGCCGTTTTTAATAGCTTTTTAAAATACGTATTTATATAGTATAACGTTAACTAATTTTATTAATTACTAAGTAAAGACTTTAATATATATATTAATAATATTACGTTTATAAGCTATAAGTTATTTATATTTAGCATTAAGCTCTTATTATTTTTAAATATTCTTAAGTATATAGATCTTTTTTATAAGTACGTTATAAAAATAGATTTATTTATATAAAATAAGTAATATAGCTAATTTTATAAAAAAAAACTTAGTTTAGTTTTATAAGTTATTCGTACTTAAAAAAGTTAAAAAGTTCGTACTAAGAATTATATTTAAAAATTATTAATAAAAAATTTCTTAGTTTTTTTAATCGTTTTTAAATACTTTATAACGGGCTTAATAAGCTCGTAGTTTTTTTTTATTACGAGTTATAATTAATTATTTAAATTTAAAAAGTAAAATAAGTATTATAAAGGGGTTAAGGAATATATTAAAGTTTAAAGTATCTAAGTTAACGTATTTTTAAACCTTAACGCTCTTATTTATAATATAAAATATATTAAACTATTTAATTTAACTATTATAACTAGTTAATTTAGCTTAAGTTAAAATAAATATAAATAAGTTAGTTATTTTAAAAAAATTATAAAAATTATATTAATAAGTATATTATTATAATATAAGGTCTTAATTAAGAGCTAGGTTTATAATTATTATAAGTTATAGTACGTAGTAATAGTTATATAAAATATAGTAAAAGTAGCTTAATTATTAAAATAAAAATAGATAAAAGGAAAAGGTCTATATATATAATATTTAAGATAGATATGTGATTTAGCACGTGACGGGCACTTTATAAGGTGCGATTACTATCCTTATTACGTGACAGGTGTATAGTCATCGGCCGCTTCACTGTCCCGGCCCGAGATTCGCAACTCTCGAAAGTCCCGCTTCCGCTCTATTCTTCCAGTTCTACAACTCATCACAGGCTTGCTTTGACTCACTCTCTCACCCTCTTCTCAGTCGAACCATCAAACATGGCTTCACCTCTTAGAATTGGCTACGTGCCGGAGCACTTCTCCACGCCCCTCTATTTTGCCAAGCAGCACTTCGGCCTCGATGCCACCTTGGTTCCCTTCCCCTCCGGAACGGGACACATGATTACGGCCATTCGCGGCGGCGAAATCGACGTTGGTATTGGGCTGACAGAAGGCTGGATCGCCGGCCTCGGCAAGGAAGACGCCCCCGGGGATGGCGGCTACCGTCTCGTCGGCACCTACGTTGACACGCCCCTCTGTAGGTTCACAAGGCCAACTTCTCAGAACACTACTGACATAGTAAACAACAGGCTGGGCCATCTCAACCGGTGCCAAGCGCCCCGAAATCACCTCAGTAGACTCCCTCAAGGGTGGCAAAATCGGCGTCTCCCGCATCGGCTCCGGCAGCCAGATCATGGGCTTCGTCCTCGCCGACCAGCACGGCTGGCTCACCCCGTCCACCCCGGCACCGTTCTCTGACACTGTGATTCTCAACAACTTTGAGAACCTCCGCAACGCCGTTAACTCGGGCGCTGCTGACTTCTTCATGTGGGAGCACTTCACCTCCAAGCGCTACTACGACTCGGGTGAGATCCGCCGTGTAGGCGAGATCTACACGCCCTGGAGCAGCTGGAAGATTGTCGCGTCCACGGCGTTGGCCAAGGACGGTCAGAAGCTCGACGCCAGGATCAAGGATCTGTTTGAGAAGCTTGACAAGGGCGTGAAGCACTTCAATGAGAACAAGGATGAGGCTGTCAAGTATATTAGCACCCATCTGGATTACTCTGAGGCGGATGCCAGGGAGTGGCTGAAGACGGTCAAATTTACGGATGGCGTGGAGGGTGTCAAGCCCGAGGTTGTGAACAACACAGTCGATATTTTGAGGAAGGCTGGAGTTTTGGTGGAGGGTAAGGGGAGACAGCCCGAAGCCATGGTAGCCAGGGACTGAGCAACAAGTTGAATGAGAGAAAAGATTTCACGTTCATCAAACGATTATCTATTGCATCGTTTCCAAAGAACGACATTGGCCTCGGATTTCATTGCGTATGATCACGATGAGCTGCCATAAGAAAGGCAGATGCAATTGTCTTGACTCATGATTTACCAACATACTCTCGCAATGTCCCGACACTAATGTTAGGGTATCTACCACTCTCATCACCATTTGCAGTGATCGTCGACAGCGATTATTCGTATAGGCAGCTAAGCCTTCCCAGACTTGCCCTTCCTTCTCTTCCCCTTGCCTGCGAGGAGGTCGCGCTTCTCCTGCTTGCGCGTCTCCTTGTCTTTGGCTCCAATAACACCAGTCTCTGAGCCACACGGCCACTTTGCAAGCACGGCGGCCTCATCCTCCTCGCTCCACTCGCGCGGCAGCACAGCGAAGACAAGGTACGAGGTATGGGTTTTCAGCTCCGGCTCCGCGCGGTGGATAATGCGACCCTGCAACCACGGCTTGCCCGCAAATGGTCCTTCTTCTTCATCACCATTCGTGCCCTCTCCCGCTTGATCCACGTCCATGGCGTTGCCCGCCGGTGAGTCGTCTGTCGAGTTGGGGTCTGCCGAGTTGTGGTACTCTCTCGTTCTTCTCTCAATCTCGCGAAGCTTGCCGACTGCCTGGCCCACGTCGCGTGCGCTCGCCGCGATACCGCGATCGGGCTGGCTGTACCCAGCACGATCCCGGATGACGTTGAACTTCTTGTGTGAGATCTCAATCATATCAATATCCACCCACCCCAATTGTCTCATTGTGTTGATCGTTCGTTGTACTTGCTCGATGCAGGGGGAGAAGGTGCAGATGTAAACCGACTTCTTGGGATTTAGTGGGGAAACCCATTCTTGTGTCTCGCCTTCTGTGTCCTTCGTCGCTGGCTTTCGTCGTGACAGGTGGGGGAGGGCCTCCCAGGGAGCGGGTAGATCCAGGAACACCGAGTCTGCCTCGGGACTTCTACCGTCCACCAGGAACCCGCCGTTGTAAACGTCTCGATGCGAGAGCTTCACGATGCCTTCCAGCCCGTGCGCAGTGATCTCTTCCTGCATCTTCAAATAACGGTCCTTGTTGAATTCGAAGCTGAAGACCTTGCCTTTTCGTTGAGAGTCATCTTCGGGGTATCCGCTGTAAACCGCACGCGCTGATGCGTGAGTGAAACTACCACTACCTGCGCCAGCTTCGATAATATGGGTACCGGGTCTCGCTCGTATGCGCTGAAGGACGTAACTATAGTCGGGGGTGTAGACGACTTGTGTTCGATGCGGCAGGCCCGCGGTCCAGAGTTCGGCTGTAGGCTGAAGAATGTGCACGAAGCCACTCGCGGCGGCAGCCGCCTTCTTAACCGGTGCGCTGGATTCCGCCTCGGCCTCATCTGCCGCTGCTGGTGTTGACGCGTCCGTTTCCTCTGCCTTCCTCTTGCGCTTGCGGCCTCTGGAGCCAGTGTCAACAATCGAGGCACGAATTTGCGATCCCCATGGTACGTTGATCAAGGTGGAGTGGGGAAATGAGCCGAATCGTGTGTTAAGGACTGCTCCTTCGGCATAGCCGTCGACCGCACCGGTAGAATCTTTGAGGATGAGAGGAACGAGGTTGTCGCGAGAGAGCTGCACGATAGCGATGGAATTGGCAGACGTCCTGGGGCCAGGCTGAAGGAATGGAGATGGCTTCGTCATTTTTGTGATTTCGGTCGCCATGCTGGCAAGTGATGAGCCAGACTTGATCGACCCTGAATGCCTTTCTAGACAATTGGAGTGGTGCAGGAAAACTACCTAGCCAATGCAGGTCGTAGGACAGTCGAGGAAAAACTTCGCGAGGCTGGATTGGAGAAAAGTTAGCTGTGGCTAAGCGCGGGGCAGCTGTGGCTGAGTAAGAGCTTGACCACTCAGATGTTGACACAGCGCCCCAATTGACTGCGAGGCTGACGATGGTGTCACACCGGCCATTTTTGATAGGTGGGCGGCTAATTGCTCCCTCCAACAAAGTCGCCGTCCCCTCCCTTCCCAATTGAGTGACTCAATCCTCTCAGTTCGACCCTTTGACCCGACCCTCTCGAAGTGACTCCCTACTCTCATGCACTCTGCCCTCCTTGTGCCTCTCTCCTTTTATTCTGGATGAATCGCCTCTTTAGACTCACCAGAATTTCCATTTCTCTCTCCACTCAGATACCCAACTTTCGATTCTCTAGGGCTTGTTCCTCCATCGCGACTATGGAGTCTTTAAAGGTGCACAACTCCTTGAAGCCCGGTCAACCGGTGCCATTTACACCAATCAACCCGGGCAAGGTGTCTTGGTATGCTTGCGGTCCTACTGTCTACGACAAGAGTCATTTGGGCCATGCCCGCAACTATGTGTCGACCGACATCATCCGGCGCATTATGATGCACTACTTCGGCGCGGATGTGAAGTTTGTCATGAACATCACTGATGTCGACGACAAGGTTTGATTCACTAGCTTTCCACTGGCACATCAGGCTTTATTGACCATTCCCTGTGGCATAGATTATTATCAAGGCCCGAAGACAACGTCTCCTCGAACTTGAGAAGCAGAAGAAGTACTCGGACGAAGAGCTGGCGAAGCTTACTCTGACAGCTTTCCGCGCATACGCCGAGAAGAGCTTGTCTCTGATGCAATCATCCGACCTCGACGAGAACAACTACCTCGAGCGAAGAGATAGCGCATATGGAAAGGTTCTTGCAGGTGGCACCCTGACTGGTGAAGGCAAGCCTGGCGACGACGAGGCCAAGACGAAGATGCACATCGCGAACATGGACGCTGCTGCATTTGCGATCAAGGACAAGAAGTTCTTCCCGGGAACCGATGAGGTTCTTCTGCCGTACCTCGACTCCCTCTATAAGGAGACCATTGATACGAGCGATCAGACCATCTTTACCGACCTGACCCAGAGCATGGAGAAGGAATTCTTCGACGATATGGACGCTCTCAACTGCCTGCGACCCGACGTCATTACGCGTGTTACGGAATATGTTCCCCAGATTGCGAGCTTTGTCGAGCGCATTGTGGACAAGGGATTCGCATACGAGTCTGACGGATCCGTATACTTCGATATCACAGCTTTCGAGAAGGCCGGAAACACATACGCCCGTCTGCGACCCGGCAACCGCAACGACAAGTCACTGCAGGAGGATGGAGAGGGAGCTCTGTCGAAGAACCTGGGCGAAAAGCGCAATGAAGGCGATTTTGCGCTGTGGAAGAAGTCCAAGAAGGGAGAGCCATACTGGGAGAGTAGATGGGGTCAGGGTCGGCCGGGGTGGCACATCGAGTGCTCCGTCATGGCCTCTGACATTCTCGGAGCCCAGATGGATATTCACTCCGGCGGTATCGATTTGGCCTTCCCTCACCACGATAACGAGCTGGCCCAGAGCGAGGCTTTTTACGTCGATAACACAAAGGGCGAGCACACGTGGGTCAATAACTTCATGCACATGGGTCACCTGTCAATCTCCGGTTCAAAGATGTCCAAGTCCTTGAAGAACTTCCAGACTATCCAAGATGCCCTTGCCACGACTTACACATCCAGAGGAATGCGCATTGTGTTCCTGATGGGCAAGTGGAACGATGGCGTCGAGATTTCCCCCGACATGCGCGCCCAGGCGTCCAGCTGGGAGGCAACTATCAACGTGAGTCTATGAGCCGTATCGTAATAATAAGTTCTAAGCTAACGTTTCGGCAGAACTATTTTACCAACGTCAAGGCATATGTTGCGGATGCCAGCGCTTCTACCGATGGTGTCGAATCTCTGTCACTGTCAGACAAGCCCACCGGAGGACTTGTCAGCAGCCTGGAGAAAGCCAAGGCTGACCTGCAAACCGCCCTCTCCAACTCTTTCGATACCCCTCAAGCGATGCGTGTTATTCAGGAACTTGTCAGCGAGGCCAACAAGGTCGTTGTTTCCCAAGATGCAGAGGCTAACGTGCCCGCGCTCGTTGCCGTCGCCCGCTGGATCACAAAGATTCTTGGAACATTTGGTCTCGACGAGAATGCCAATGCGCCCTATGACGGCCTTGGCTGGGCTGCGCCTGCGTCTAACGCAAAGCTTGACCCCAAGACTGTCGTGCAGCCGTACGCGACGGTGTTCCAGACCGTGAAGTCGGATGTGGAGGCGCTGAAGACTTCGGCCGATTCCGTTTCCGCCCTGTTGTCGCAACAAAACCCGGAAGCAGAGTCCTCTACTTTGGCTGATAAGGGTGTTCGCGATCCTGAGCAATTGGCTCTGCCGTATCTGCGTGCTACCTCGAGACTACGCGACGAGCTCCGTCGTATCGTGTCATCAGTGTCTCCCGAGACGAAGAAGGCCATCCTGTCTCTTACAGATCGGATTCGTGACGAAGACCTTACAAATCTCGGAGTTTACTTGGATGACAGGCCGGATGGCAAGTCGTCATTGATCAAGTTTGTACCTGCCAGCGAGTTGATCGCGGCGAAGAACGAGAAATTGGCCAGGGAAGCGGACAAGGCCCGGGCCAAGGAAGAGGCGAAACGAGCGCGCGAGCAAGCGGAGAAGGAGAAGTGGGAGAAAGCGAAGCTTCCCCACACGGAGCTGTTTAAGGGAGACGAGAAGTACTCGGAGTGGGACGCGGAGGGACTGCCAACTAAGCTTAAGGACGGCAGTGACGTGCCCAAGAGCCAGCTCAAGAAGCTGCAGAAACAATGGCAGAGCCAGAAGAAGGCGCACGAGGAGTATCTGGTCAAGTTTGGTGGTAAATCATAGACAGGCCAGATTTGATGGCATCGACTAGCATTAAAAGCGAGTAATTCACGACTTGCAAAGCTAGAGGCAACTCGTGGCGGCATCACGCTCGTGTGAAGATGGAAGTTCGCATTGGGGGATTAACAAAAGAGTCCCCATATTCTCTCAGTGACAGAACCTACTCACAGAGCAGTCGTTTCCCACGATAAAGAGGCCTCATTCATTGCAGAACAGCGTTTGGGCACAGAAGGG